AAGTTATTAAAAGAATCTTAAAATCAATTCTAATATAGATAATGGTTGCAGTCCTAATGTGGTGTGGACTTTTTAAGTGGCACAACCAAACTACCACTCCATAACAACACAAAATAAACATGACATTCCCAGCAATAGATGGTTTCAAGTCTCTTCCTGGCAACAACAGTGTGTTACTTGTGACTTATTTGTTGTTCCATAGCAGATGACTTTCTAGTGTAATGATTATCAGTTTGGCACCTGATAACTTCATAACTTGGCTAAAGGCACACACACAAACGAGAGCCATGTGCTGAATGACTTGGCTACAGAACAGCCCTCTTTGTTGGTTTCCACATGTTGTGGCTGCAGTCATGTGACATGATGTCAGAGGATGCTGATGTTACGCCCCACTGCAGCACAAAGCAGGTTATTATCGGACAGCGTGGCTCTGTCATCCCTTCGGGAGACGGGCCTCTTCCCCTGTCGATCACTGCTCAGGGACTGGACATTTGGTCTCAGTATGCCCCGCCTGCCTTTGTCAGTCAGTGCTGCTGACCAGTGTTTTTGGAAACTCACATGTTCCATGACTCTATCTATACCTCTACCTCAATAACAAGTGGAGGCTCTGCTCAGTAATAAACCTACACGCCTTTGCCCCTGGAAGAAAACATCCCTGCGTGTCTGACTGGCTTTATGAAGCATATCAACAGTGACTAATGAACATCCCTGGATTAGGACTGAAAACCTCAGTGTCATATGTTTGTGATTGTCCTCAAACACAGCCCCAAATACATGTGAGCTGCAGAGGGTACAAGACGTACTGAAAGCACAAAGTGATCCAGTCCATAAAATCTGAATTGCTTGTACAATTAAAACACAATAAAGCTGAGATTGTGTTGGTCGTATTGTATCAAGATCAAAACCATTACAACACAGGTCAAATATGTGAATGAGACCAGCAGTGTAAGTTCAAAACATATCTCTCTTTCTCTGTCTCTCTGTCTCTCTATCTCGCTCATGAGGTCATCCTTACCCTGTCCGCCACTTGGCCCAAAACCAACAACCAGTGTCGACTAAACAAACAGCTGGCTCACTCTGCCACTCATGATGTACATGTCGGTCATTGGAGCCACAAAACAATAAACAACACTATCACTGGCATGAACTTCATATGCTGAAAACACATGCTGCGTGCAAAACATGTAACTAAAATCTCAAACAGTGTCAGAGAGTGGTCCCACTTTCCCATATGTGCACACTGATGCTGTGCTATACTTTCACTTCAGGCCAGGAGAGACACAATATCAGGGGGCACAGTGGTAAAAGGTGGATGGCTTTTTGTCTGGTGTATTTTTATAATGACTGCCAGAAAGTTGTGGAGCCATTCTGAACACAAAGGCTTACAAACATGTTGCAGATGTGCTGATAAAAGAAAATATTCAGGGTTTTTCTGGTATTAGGAGATACAGTAGTGAGCTGTGGGTGGTGACGAAGTTACATATTTAGAACAAAACAGTGTCACACAGGCTTGAACCGTAAGTGTTATCTGAGGAACATTTGAACTAAAAATAGCTGACACATTTTACAGTAACCACTGATACAACCACATAGGAGTACTGTGTGTAAGCCTTGGGTATGCAATGTTGCCATATCTATTTTGTTAAAGAGACAGTTCACCCCAAAGTCAGAAACACTCATTTTCCCTCTTACCCATAGCGCTATATATCAGTCTAGATTGTTTTGGTGTGAGTTGTCAAGTGTTGAAGATATCAGCCCTGGAGATGTCTGCTTTCTCTCCAATATAATGGAACTATGTGGCACTCGGCTTATGGTGCTCAAAGTGCTTCAAAAATACATTTGAGAAACCCAGCAGCAATGTCGCTTTTCAGAAATCATGACCTGGTTACTCAAGATAATCCACAGACCTTGTTGTGACTGTGAGCAGTTTCATGTAGGAGCTATGCACTACATCCACCAACTGTATCACTAAAGAAAGCATGCATCTACTGCTAGCTCACCTAGCACCACTGAGCTAGCTAACGTTACCACTCAGCTGAGGAGGATTTATTAATGTTTACATTCCACACTGTCACGGGCATGAGCCTTTAATGGTAGAGTAGATGCATCGTTTCTTCTGCGTGGTGATAGAGTTGGCAGGTGTAGTTCGGCAGAAAAAAAATAGTTCCGACAGGAAACTGCTCACAACAAGGTCTGTGGATTATCTTGAGTAACCGGGTCATGATTTCTGGAAAGAGACATTGCTGTTGAGTTTTTCAAATGTATGTTTTTGATGCTAGTTTCAATATATTCAAGAGATGGCAGACATCTCTATACGCTATATCTCCAGCACTCCACTACAAGCATGAGAAATATTTGAGTTTGATTATCAGTGATGGAAAATAAATGGTTTCGGCCTTTAGAAAAGTAGGAATAATATGATGTCTGTGCGGCTGGATAGAAGGATAGAAGAGTAAGAGGTAAAATCAACTGATTGAATGAACTAACATTTGGTGGGGGATGTCCCGATGGCACTGAGATGACCTGACGCTCAGCTCATACCTGTGATGAGGCTGGAAACCAGCAGGGGCAGCACCAGCATCTGAAGCATTCTCATCAGCAGCTCTCCGGGGAAAGAGAAGAACTTCACCTCCCGGTAAGACATGTTATATGGCCGCAAGGCAAATCCCAGGATAATGCCTGCAATGGGGATCAGATATGGAGGCAAAGTCAAAACTTTATTAGAACATTTAAACTTTTGTTGTGTCAACATGACCAGACCTTAAGAGAGTCCCAGATTTGACACCTATACTTGGATATAATCATGTTCAAGCAAAATTTATGAATGGATATCAACAAAGGCCTCAAAGATGACTGCACTGCAGACTCTTGAATAAGTACACTAGTACTGTTTACTTACATGTCCCAAAATAAAACACACTGGGCTGATGGTTATTAGTAAAGATGCAGGAGAGGTGTGACTACACCGATAAAGGTTAAAGGCAGGGAGGTTAAAGAACGTGGTGACATCATCATTGCTGGGAAGACTTATTGTGCAATGATATTCATGGTAGGCATTAGCATTTACTGGTATTTTGAGGGGAGGAGGTGTAGTTTATAGACTCCTCAAAATACCACTGATTGTGCAATGATTGTCACTTCTGTTGTGGTCTTTTTTCTAACTTGATTTAATTGTGAAAATGTGTGCAAAAGTTCTTTGCTTCAGTGTCGGGGGAGTCTATTCTCTCGACAAGCAGTTTGTCCACTGCAGCACTAATCCACCAACAGGGCCCAGGTGGCTGACCCAGCAGCCTGAAGTGAACAATATCCTGAATTCAACAATCAGTCAAATGTGTTTGTCATGGCATGGTGTAATTCTAGCCAGGCTGCAGATGTGCAGGCAGTGGGTGGGCCTGGCTCACTTCCTACTGGGCCAGTTTCAAAGGTTAATGGCAACAGGTCAGGGGTCAGCTACAGGGTCAGATAAAGGCCTGTCCGCTAAGTTCATCCAAGGTCCCTCTCATCCGGTGAGTTTGTTTCAGTTCTTTTCCTTCTTCCTTCCCGCTGCGGGGGTGTTGATCACACCAGATTGATGGATTGTTGGGTTAAGACAGAAAATCTGCTGCCCTTTTCTTTACAAGCTTGAAAAGAGGAGGGGTAAAGATGAAGAGGAACAAAGTCTTCTCCAATAATCTCCAGTTTTAAATCAGCTAAATCACTGATAAAGTGCAGTGTCTGACAGTGTCATGTGTGATAAAGAGCAAGTTCCCACTCACCAATAATGACAGCAGCGATGGTTAAGATCACAAAGGCATTTCTTAAGAAGAACTTTTTCATATCATCCTTGGTGATGCTCTGCACTCTCTTCTTGGCCTGCAGAGATCGAGACTGGATCCCGGCACGGATCTGGTGGAGACCACTCCGGCTCCTCTGCGGGTTTTCCCCGTTGCTCTGTGTCATGGCTTTTCTTGGAGTCTTCAAAGTTGCTTTTAACGTGCAGAAAATTGATCTCCAGGTAAATGTTGAGGTAACACCTTAATCGTGCTGCTAAGCCACTTATTACCTGTTGCTCCGTGTCCTCTCTGTCACACCTCTCCAGACAACTGTCCTGAATGAACGGGAAGGACATATCATGAGAGTTAGATAGATACTTGAGCGCAAAAAGACAACTGATGAAAGGTAGGCAACTACTCTGTCGCACTCTTAGTTCAGTCTGATGATAAAGGTTTGTTGTGCTGGACTCCACAGCTACTGTCATGTAAAACCTCTACATATAATGTGCAGCACATGCAGAGTAGATGATGAAATAATCAAGCAACCTCCCAAAATGCATTATAAAACATAAAATACGTCAACTCTTTTATCAATGAAATGCTGTGAAGAACACATGTGTTGCACTCACAAGGCACACAGACTTCCTCATACGTACACTCAAGTAACTACAACGCCACATGTGTGGTTCTACTGACACTGATTACAGCCTCACACTCATATGCATGCAGACATACACAGACACACACAGACATAGTCAATGCTGAAATGGTAAAATGCATTTTGAGACGTATCAAATGGTAAAATACCGAGATAGAAGTTGTTTCTATACCTTTACACTTGAGCAATAACTTCTTCTGCAGTAATGTCTCAGTTATTTTGGGAAAAAGTGGTGGTTTAAAGCCCGATCGGTGTGAGAGGGACAGAGGAGCTCTTTGGCTGTGAGCTGGTTGGTGTGAGCAACCAGCAATGAAGGGAAAGAGCAGAAAAAGAGGAGAGGGTGGAGGAGAAAAGAAAGGAGGGAGCAGTGGCGGGGATGAGGGAATAAAAGAGCCAGTGAGAGAATGGAGGCGGTGCCATAGTAGAAGAAAAACTAGAGTTAGTCCCTCACACAGCGTGGGCTTGTGGGGAGGTGAGGCGGGAACTAAAAAAGTGAAGTAATTTAGAGAAGGTGGGGGCGAGGGGGTGCTTTTCAGACAGAAGGGAGCGGGAGGAATAATGAGCTTTCCAAGCAGGAAAAAGAGAAAGGACCTTCTTGTTTTCTTCTGTCCTTCTCAGCCTGCCTTTCAAATAGTTCTTCACGCTTGATAAGTTCAGCCTGATTGGAGATGCCTGTGGAGAGTGAGTCAACAGAAAAATGGAAGTCCTAAATTCATCAAAACATATATGGAAGTGGATTAGCCATTCATACATCTATTTTGGCACATCTTCAATGGACACACTCACCAATCCATCAATCAATGTTAGTTTACTACATATTTACACCAGACAAAGGAAGTCTTTTTTTCTTCATGAAAAAACTGTGCAGTCTTTAGTTGGCTAAGCTAAACAGAGTAGGTAAATGTTTACCAAGTGCCAGTGGTGCAACTGGGACTCCGCAACTTTTGGTGTTGAAACAAACAATTTGCGCAAATAGTGACGCATGTTTTAAATCTAGAGGTTTATGGCAAACTGCCTACTATGCTACTTGGACAGTCAGCTGTATCTGGGCCATTTAAAAGTAGTGAGCATTAGCACAAGAGACACAGTGGTTAGGAGGCAAAACGCTTCCAGTGAGGATGATGCGAACACAAGCAGGCCGATGACCGCGAGCTTAGTTTGGCAGCAGAGCTCAGGAATTCACAGCGTGGCATGTGCGATGTGATGAGGGCAAGGGTATGTGCAGAAATGTGCGCGTGTGAATGTGTCTGGGAGAAAAGTGGGGGAGAGAAGTACAGCTGAAGGCACCCTTTCTGACTCATACTAGGGGAATCCGTGTTTGGCAGGGATATTGTCCATACACACAGACATTCACACACACTCACAGTTCTTCATGCTGCATATGACCTCAGTAAAATTATATAACCCCAGATTCTGGCATGGGTCTTATAGGCAGATAAATCTGAAGGATGACTCCGCCAAAGAGTTTTAAATGTTTTAACAGTAGCTGCACTGGCATGTGTGTAAGGGAACTCAAAGAGTCAATGAAACATTTTTAGCTTACGTCATTTAAAGCTTCAACTCAGCAGTAACATAATGACAATGTTACTCACAATAGTCCACAGACCTTGTCATGGACTGCTCTTTCACTTTGTGTCAAGATAAATAGCGCAATACTTTAATGCAGTATAAGGATGTTCTCGATGAAGGAATTCAAAAGGTCTGTGGGTTATTGTTTGTAAATGCACCAGTCTGTTTGGAAGGAGAATTTGCTGTTGAGCTTAGTGCTTTGATCACTGCAGACCCAATGCAACTGAGGTCCAGGTTTTTGCAAGTTAAAGTGAAACTATCATAACGGAAAGACAAGTTAAAAGAAAAAATGTAAAAGATATGAAACTAGCATTCGTGAGCTCACGCTGCAGGTCAACATGTTTGCCATCAGGGAGCAAATATTTTCAGAATGTAATCACTATTCATAACATAACGGAGCAGCAAAGGAAAGCAAAGAGTTGTCTGTGAAATCATCGTTCTTTTGAGATGCTTGAATAACCATCATTAGCTCTGAACAAACAGGCAATTACTGTCTGAATTGCAGGGAGAGAGAATATGTACAGTGTTATCTTCCTCTGTCATCCCCTGGGCCTCAGAGACACTGAACAGTTTCTCTCAACACTTCAGTCTGAGGAGTTTAGACTGAGTTGCTAACTTATTAGTGCACAGACCGGCTATCATTGTCAGTGGTGGCAAATCCCCCTACACAACTACTGTTACAACATTTATTCAGATGATGCAAAGAGGCTGGACATCCATGTTGGCTCAGCCTGGCAACTTACTATCAGAGTTGTTTGATATATGATACCATTATAATAGAGAATAACAGATGTAATATTCAATGCTGCTCATGCAGCAAGTAAATATTCTTGCTTCAGTGTAAGAATCCTGTGGGTGTGGTGAAATCTGGAAGATCATTTAACTGAATCGCTGATATATTAGGCCGAATTAAGAAAATGTGCACAGCCTGGCCACTTTATTACAATGAATGCAATCCAATTCAACAGATCTGCAACAAATTCTACATTTAGGAAGATTATAATGTTCAGTTTTTGTTGACACTGGCAGAAAGGACACTTTACTGTGGTTATTATTAAGGCTGTAGCTAGAGGTGATGCTACATATGTCTGTATCAAGCCAGTGATTCCCAGTGAGGGCTACTTGTTCCCTATGGGGTAACATTACTGCAACAGTTACTGGGGTATACATAGAAACATAAAAAATTCAAACAATAAATGGATTTAAAATTTTTATATATGTTATTTCAACTGTAACTTAAGCACAATTATGTTACAACTAAAATTGCAAGAAATGTAGCATCTGAGCACAAAGGTCTAAACTGTTAGCTAAAATTAATATGGAAATACAAAAAGTAGCTAAAATAATGAATGTACAGTTCATATAGTTAGCTAACTAAAATAAATGGATAAATGGCTGAAAGAGTTCACTAAAAATAAATAATGCAGCTGAAATAGTTAGATAAAAGTAGTAGCTAAATGGTCGAAATAGCTCGATGTCCAGCCTCTGCTGCTAGTAACGTTAGCTAGGTAGCTAACGCTACATTAACAGGCTAACTACACAGTTAACAACAAGCTTACAGCGTGCACAGTGATAAAAGCACAACACTCACCTTCAACATTCAGCATCTGGCCGAGAAATTGGCTTCCCGTCTTTGTTGCGATAGTTTCTAAATGACATATAATACAGGTCATGATAGACAGAAGCTAAAGGAGCGCCAGTGACGACGTCAGCGCCTTTTTGAAAACTTCACAGGTTTTCAACTAACGTTAGCGCTCAGAGTGACCACACAAATAAGAGTGTTGTGAAAAAAGATGTGCGGTGCATGTTGTCGCATATTACAAAAGACATTTGAGCTCAGAATAAAAAGCTATGTGGACTCAGGCTTTGAAGGGGTAGCCTACTATCCGGAAAATGAAAAACAGATGGACCTGGTACCAAAACTGAGTCGATCCGAGCTGAGTCGTGCAGTGGAAATGAGGCAAAAGAGATGGACGGCCTTGACAGTGGAGATCAGCAGGGCAGGAATTCAGGTGAGTAGCCTGGGGACTGAACAGCAGGTGGGGGGGTGCAGCTAGCTCAGGTACAGGCTGCAGAATAGCAGGCCCAACACTAGCAAGCAGAGAGAGCTAGCTGGCGAACTGTCTGGCTTCTTCGGGGAGGTGCTAGGAGGTCCCAGGGATGCGTGTGAGACATGTGAGCTCGCCAAGCAGGATCTGGAAGATGCAGGGGATGCTGGAGTGATGGTAAAATTCTCTGCCAATCCATGTAGCTTCACCAAAACAAGGCTTGGAAGACACAAGGTCCCAGCCAACAGTTGTATGTGGGGCCCATGTTGGTACTACATGGGCTGAAAAATGGGCCCTATATGGGACTTACTGGGTTCCATATTGACCCCGTGCCAGTTGCCCACATGGGTGGGTTTACCCAAGTGCGCTATAGGTGGGTTACACAAGGGCTACCTGGGTATGGGTCCAAAATGGGCACCTTATGTGGGGCTCACTTAGGTAAACCCACCCTTGTGGTTAATTGGCATGGGGCCATTATGGAACCCATCAACAATCCCATATAGGTTTTCAGCCCATTTACTACTCATATGGGCCCTACATACAAATGTTGGCTGGGGTGGAGCACCAATGAAAGAGCTGCGTCCTTCTGCTCTATACTGGAGGTATTTTGGCAGTAGATTTGATAGTAGAGGAGGAGGATAGTAGACATAGGACCATTTTTTTTCGGTTTGTACTGTCATTGAGGTCAAATGTAGACACTAAGGCAGAACTGGTGGGAAAAAAGGCTGACAGGCAGATTATAAACAGGCAACAGATCCAAAACATGGGTGGCAGGTAAATCAATGATTGAACCATGATTTGGGAATGTGAACAGATGGAGCAGGTGGATGCATGGATGTGGGAGTCAGGTGATCCAGGATTGGAGGGAAAGTTCGAGGGCATCTGGTGGACAGGTGGAGAATGGCAGGTCTAGAAAGTTCACCAGAAATGTATAAGCATGCGGAAATTGAGAAATACCTGGAGGCAGAGACATCCCCCCTGTGAGATGCAGAAACACTCACTGGCTCTTCTCATCAGTTGATGTGAAATGGCTAATAACGCTGTACAAATAGCAGTATATCATAGCTCTCCTGTGTACCAGTAACAGTATTATTATTTCAGCAGTAAATAATCTACAAGTCATCAATTTCACTAACCTTTTCTTTTCATACTGTAATTTGGTCAGAGAACATTGGTCCATATGTGTGTGTTTTTCAGGAATAACTGATATCAAAATATTGATTCTTCACCACAGCCTTAAAGCTGATGATCCCTTGCAATGAATTTCCAGAAAAATATTGCAAAATCATCCCTAAACATTGTGTGTGTGGTGCGAGACTACTACTGACAACCTAAATCCCTGTCTTTCCCATCATTAAACCTCAGCTCATCTGGATAGCTTTAAATCACCATTCCTCACCCTCACTGCAGCGACCCACATGGCATCCATCGCACAGCCATCCCAACAAGCAACAACAGACAACAGCCTCCTTTGTCCCGCTGTCCCTGTGCGAAGCAAGGGATCGGCTGATGGGGTCAGCTGAAGAGCAGAACTTGTAAACTGAAGAAAGGCGAAGAGAGTCAGGCGTCCTGCTGTAAACTGTACAGAAACAACAGAGAAACAGGTGAATGGGACACATCGCCATGGACGCTGGGTAGAAAATGTGACGCCTTTAGACTGTGTTTATGTGTACTTGTGTTAATCACACTGTGGGGACAAAAATCAGTTCATCATGGGTGGGGATCCACCTCACATTTGTGGACAAAAAGCTGTTAGTCCCCACATGGTTAAAGTCCCCCTGCAATCAGGAATGTGTTTGACTATTGGGTGACATTAGAGTGCTGTTTTCACATTCATCTGTTCAGTTTCTCTGGGCTCACCATAGTTTGACATTTTGGGAGACATGTTCATGCACTTTCCTGCTGCAACTTAGATGAGAAGATTGAAACCACTTTCATATGTGTATGGTGATTATGAAACTACAGCACTAATGGATGCTGTATACAAAACCAAAGCTGACATTCCTGCACTTTCCTACTATAGTGGGGTATTTTACTGGTTTATGTATGACCTGAAAACAAGTTTTAATTTTAATTTACTTTACTAATCCCCAAGAAATTAAATTTTTACACTCTGTTGTCATATACATATACACACAGGTCCGAAATACGCACACATGGACAAACAGGACCTATACATGCATTAAATGGAGAAATGTCAGAGTGAGGGGGCTGCCCATGGACAGGCGCCCCAAGCAGTTGGGGGTTCGGTGCCTTGCTCCAGGGCACCTCAGCAGTGCCCAGGAGGTGAACTGGCACCTCTCCAGCTACCAGTTCGGACTGGAACTTGAACTGGCAACCCTCCGGTTCCCAACCCAAGTCTCTAAGGACTGAGCTACTCCCGCAAGTGAGCAATCTTTGCAATAAACTCGACTGAATGGAATTTTTGCTGGCATGTGAGTGTTTTGTATCATATTAGTAATTCAGCTTCTTCCAGTGTGAAACGACTTGGTCGCTTGCAAAGCTTTGCTTTCAAAGTCATTTCCCCGACACTGCTAATATACATAACATCAATCCATCCATCCATACATCCATACATTTTCATCCGATTATCTGCGGCCGGGTCATGGGGGCAGCAGGCCAAGCAAAGCGCCCCAGATGTCCCTCTCCCAAGCAATGCTTTCCAGCTCCTCCTGGTTGACCCCGAGGCGTTCCCGGGCCAGATGAGATATGTAGTTCCTCCAGTGAGTTCTGGGTCTGCCCTTGGGGGCCTCCTATCAGTTAGACGTCCTCAGAACACCTCTAACGGGAGGTGCCCAGGAGTCATCCTGATCAGATGCTCGAAGCACCTCAACTGACCCCTTTTGACGAAAAAGGAGCAGCAGCTCTACTCCGAGCTCCCTCCGAATGTCTGAGCTCCTTACCCTATCTCTAAGGCTGAGCTTAGAGATAGGATGACTCCTCCAAGAACTGCCATCATAACGTGGTGGTGGTGGGGTTTGGATGTCCATGTGAACCTGGGAGCTAATAGCTCCTGAGCTAATAGCCCCTGGTAGGGTCTTCCAAGGCAAAGTGGTCCCAGGGGAGGGGCTAGACTAAGAACGATTCAAGAAGACCTTGATGAAACTGCCTATTGAGACTTTGAGGACCTCGCCCGGTATGGGGACACTGGGGCCCCGCCTGGAGCCAGACTTGAGGGGGGAACCTGGTCCAGCCCGAAAAGATTAACATGGAGCCGCCGCCCTGTGGGCACATCACCTGCAGGGACAGGTTTTGGCAGGCAGGGTGGGGCCCTGGGCGTGCTGATACCTGGTGTCGCTGACTATTCATAACATAATAAACATATTACATTTTGTTTGTTTAATGTGTACACAGACCAAAGTGTAAAAACAAGGAAGAGGGAACAGATGCTAAGTATTTAAACTTATTACAGCATAAACTGTGTCCGACAGAATTTATTATTCAGAGAAAAGTCTTAAAATGTGTCTGGATAAGTTCTTTAATGATTCATTTCGAGGTCATGACTGGTAAGGGCTTGCAGAGATGGAATGTGGTGGTTATGGTTAAAGCAGTAGGAAGTCTCCAAGAAATTACACTAAAAACAATGGATTATCCTCCTAATCTCTTCATTGATCCCTTTGTTAGTGGTCACAGCAACTATATAGATAACATTTTATGTCTTTCTGTTTCAAATAAAACAATTTTTTTTGTGTTTCTCACAAGTTTTACTGCAACGTTGTCCTCCTCTTATCCACCCAACCATAGATCAAACAACTTCTCTGCTCTGAGAATCTGTGAGTTTAAAAGACCACATACTTGAGTTAGAAGGCTGGTCTCAGTTCTGTTAAATAGATTACAGAAGGAATGTGGAACTAAATGGGTTTCTGTTTTTCCATCCTGATGTGACAGTCTGTTTGTTCATTGTTGAGGGTAGTAGCCATGTGTCTTTAATGGTATCACATGTTGAATTGGGATTTACTGTAAAGGGATGAAAGAGGAGAATCGGATCATGAGAGACATGCAGGCAAAGACATTAAATCCAGTGTTTGGACTTTTGTTTGTTTTAGCTTCCCTGAATGAGGAAATAATCATTGCTTGTTGTTGCTCTCTCATCACATTACATAAACATTTGGAACGAGACGTCCAGGAACTTCTCTTTTGCTAGCAAATGAAGAAAAGAGGCTGATACTTTGGCAACTTCATCACCTCATCAGCTGGTTTGGTATAAGACCCAGTGTCAGAAATGCACATAAACAAATACACACAGGCAATACCCTAAATCTCAGCACCGAGTGTGTGCAAGCTGGCCCAGGCTGCTCTACCAGGCCAGTCATTTCAGATGGGAGTGGTCCAATCCCAGGGGAGTGATGTATCCAGGACAGGTTATAAGATCTGCAGTCTACAGTGGCCCTCTGGGGACACACAGAACTGGGGCCACATTGTTCACAGGCATCATTGTGCATGAGGGTTTCCCATGCGATCAAATGTTACAGACTTCAAACCCAGGGGTCTCAGCGCACCCGTAGCTGTTGTTCAATGGGCACGATGGGAGACGAGGCTGTTCACACACCGTTTCTCACTGATCTGAATAAGGCCACACTGGACGGCGTCCCAGCGGCTCGTCGTCTGGATGTGGAGAATGAGGAGAGTGATGGCGGTGGGGAGTGAGGGGGTAGACAGGGAGATGCTAGACACATGGATAAGTGCTTGTGCTTAAGTGTGAGGAGAAAGAGAGTGAGTGAAGGCAGCGGAAGAGACAGAGGAATTGTAGACGCTCAGTAACAGTAGCAGACTGGGCTCAGAGGCAGAGTTTACCACACAGGAAAACAAACTTCCCCTCCTCATCAACAAGGAATCCCCTCTGCTCCACACCAATGTGGCACAGCAAAATGAGACACCTTTAAAAAGATAGAGAATCAAGGGATAGTCATCTCTAGAGTTCAAACACATGACGTGTTTTTATGGATGAGAACATTTGGTACTCACTTGGTTCACACATTTTAATAGTTAACTCTCCTGCTGCATTCACGTGCTCCTTGGATGGTCCCATTTCCCAAGGTGGGAAGTCCCTCTTCATGTTCATGAGCTTTAAGTTGTAATGTGGAAACAACATGGA